AGGTGCGCCTTATAATCCGGTGCGCCTTATAGTGCGGAAAATACGGTAATTTTTCATCAATATTAAGGAATAATTTACTCAAAACAAGCTCCTGTATTTTGCCGAAAACTTACTTGTAAGTTGTTTTTGTTATTTCAAGTGTAATACGATATTTGCGCTAAAAACTATACGAAAAAACACTTAGCAAGAGAAAGAATGAATCAAAAAATATTGTAATAAATAGCTTCCATTCAGTCAGACTTTGAGCTGTAGCGCAGCAATTAGAGAACTGTGTTTTCATTTGCATTCAGGATAAATGTAGCATATGCTAGCATGATAGTTTTCACAATCAGAAAGCGTGTTGACGTGTGTTTGTGTCCTTCAGCTCATAGCTGCGTACTCTACTCCGCCTGCGCCTCCCGAAGCAGCCGACTTCAGCTATGATTCAGCGTCGTCGCGCCTCGACTTCAAGGACTCGGACATGAAGAGGCTGTCCATGGAGATCGAGAGAGAGCGGTGAGGCGGCGGCCCAAACACACGACGCTTCACCTGTTATTTAGGAGACGACTCGGCTCTGTTTGCTGACACTGCTGTGCGTTCACACAGGCTGGAGTACATGGAGAAGAGCAAACACCTGCAGGACCAGCTGAAGGAGCTGAAGTCGGAGATCGAGTCTTTGAAGCTGGAGGAGCAGCAGCAGCAGCAGGCCAGCATGTACAGCCTCCCCGCAGAGGCCAGAGGTTACGTCCCCGAACCTGCATACATACCTCACAGCAACGTGAGTGTGCTAACCGATCTTACTCTGATTATCGGCATCGTGGAGGATTGGACTGTTGGAGTGTTTAGGAAAGTAAATGAGCAAAATAAACTATCAAATGTTTTTGAAATGTTTCTAAAATAGGGATGCGCCTATAAATCTGCACCAATTTTCTTAATCTTGGGACATTGGAGATCGGTCGATACTTGCAAGTGAAGCCATTTGTATCTATTTTTGCTATATTCAGACAAAACAAAACAAATTGGTATCAATCAAAATTGGAATCGTCAGGTCAGGCTTTTCAAAGATCGGTAATCGGCGATCATTCAGAAAACTGCAGTTGGTGCACTCCTATTGTAGGCTTTCTTTATTTTAAATTAATCTCTATGAATATCGAGAACATAGCCAGAGTTCCTACGCAGTCTGGAAAATTACATTTTTCTGGAAAAAAAATAAATAAATTTACGCCACACATGTATAAACTCAGTTTTCTATTATTCAAATGAATGCAAAAACATAGTAAAGGGTTTCTCATGACCAGCAGGAAAGAAAAGGAGATTTTTATTTTAAACGATTTTGTCTTATAGTTTAACATACACAACATCTGTGGTGTAAAAGGCAAATAGAAAATGGCACTACGAGGTTCAATCTAAGGAAAACTAAATCTAAGCTACATTAAAACATCTTTTATTATTAGCAGCAATCAACCTTTACAGTATCAGGAAGTTTCCTTTTCAGCTGCATATTGTAAACATGCTTTTAGGTTATTAAAAATCTTAAGATTTAAACTTAAAACTATATATTTACATATAATAAAAACCTCCTGAATGAATGTTTTGTTTTTCTTAGTTTTCCTCACAGTTTGTTTGTGTCTGTCTTGATTTGCAGCGAAACTCAGCCTACATGTCTCAGATGGCCTTCTTTGAAGAAGTGTGATCGCTGCGTTTCCAGATGAGACAACTGGGCGTCTGCAGCTGTGAATTTGCCTTTCTTCTGTGTTGTATCGTTCCTGACTGGGAGCAGCAGCAGACAGAGACCTGCCACCGCTCTGTTTGCCTCGGAAAGACTTTGAATCTGTCCAAACAGACACTCCTCGCTTTGCTGCAGCAACTTCACCATTTCTGTTACATGCAAAGAAACAGTGACACAAAGGTCATTAGTCCAGGATGTGGGGCTGAAGTTTTAAGTGTTTTGCAGCAGCTTTAGATGATCAAATGCAGAGGGATAAGCCATAACATTATGACTGTCTTCCTGCGATCGAGTCAGTTGATCAGTTTGTACTTTGGAAATGTGGAAAACAGAATATGAGGGTTTTATGGTACGTAATAGCGCGACTTTAAGAAATCAGAGGAACACTATTATGAGGGAGTAGTTTAAAAGTGTAGGCTTGTAATGTTCCTGAAGCTAACATACATAGTGAAACATAAACTAGATTTTAACTATTCCTGTTCTGATTAGACATTTAACTACTCTTCTTATCAGAGGTGGAAGAATTCATTTGATTTTTCTTTTTAAGTATAGCTTATTAAAGCTATAAGCGTTCTTCCAAAAACACAAAAACTAGTATTTTTGTCTAGTTTCTAGTGCAAATATCTTTGTCCACTTGAAATAAGACAAAACTAACTTAGAAGTAACTTTTCAGCAAGATACAGGAGCTTGTTTTAACTTAATATTGATGAAAAAGTGCTCGTTTCATTGGCAGATTATTTCACGTGTAACATAGGATGAAATGTTTTATTTTCTCATCAATATTAAGGAATTATTGACTTAAAGCAAACTCGGATTTTTTGTCAAAAAGTTTACTAGTAAGATAGTTTTTATTATTTCAGGTATATTTTCACTAGAAACTAGAAAAACACCCTTGGCAGGATTTTGTGTTTTTGCAGTGTGGCCAGTCCAAACCCAGTTTTGATTTGTGTTTGGATCATTTATTCCACCACTCACCTCTAAGTTTCATAGATAATACTCGATTATTTGAAGGGAACTTAAAAAGGAAAAGGAAAAAGAAAAAGAAAGCACTTGAATCCTCCAGGCATATTTTTTGTCTTTTGCACAAACTTTGTCTTTTCTGGCCATTAAAGTTCCTCTAGAAATTCTTTTGACATCCATTTTTAGCTCATTGTCTTTACACAAAGGTCCAACTGTCTTCCATATGAACATTTAGGGGTTTTTTTCTCGACAGACATCACGTGTGATCATCACATCATCACAATGGAACAGGAAGATTGGAGTCAAATTTAAGAATTTTGGTATTTTTCAGATGAACAAACAGCTTTTGAATTGCAAGCTGATTTAAAAATAAATAAGTTCACAGAGATGCTATTCAAAGTGTCATGAAACACTACAGCAGTTCCCTTATTAACTTGCGTCGTCATTGCAGGCGCATCATAATGGAGTGACGATGTGTAATAGTGTTCACCTCGGTTTTTGGCCTTCATTTTTTATTTATGTTTTATCTCCTGAACCGCCTTTACTGATGCCACACAGGTACCTTTCAGTGCAGAGGTTAGATTGTTTCGAGTTTAAGTTGTTATATTTTGTACTGCTGACGTTCCTTGAACTTTGCCTTTTCGCTATGACTGCACACACTAACGTGTTTCTGAGTGTGTTGTTCTTCTAAAATGAACACTGCAGAAGTCTTTGAGTGACATTGACCCGGGGTTTAATAACTTATCTACAGATTAGAAGACTGATGACATTTCCTCCTCTTTATATGCAATTCTCAGGATTAATGTTGGAGACAATCAAAGCTGTTAGAATCTCATTAGTTTCCCCCCTGAGTTAAACAGTGGAGTACAGAGTTCACATAGTGAATTGTAGGCAGTAAAAACTGCTAAGCTGTGAAAAGTCTTAAAGTATTTACATGTTTGAAAGACTTTTGCCAGCTGTGGACACACGGCATCTCACAAACAAACTAAACTTTTTGACGTTTTGGTTCATTAAAACCTCGTGCATCTTTCTTTGTTAGGACCAGCCTGTCTGACTTATTTATGCGGTGAACAGTGACAGATGAGGGGTCGCCGTCGGCGTGCCAGAGAGCAACGCCAGCCTGGGTCCCGTGTAAATTGATTCTTTTCCAATGTGCTTCTGCTCCCAGGTTGATCAGATTTATCTGGGCTGCGAATGCACCGTCACATTTCTTGAAGTTTACAGTTTAAGGGTAAATGTGTTTTGTATTGATGCTTTATTTTTCTGTATTGTGTTATAAAATCACAGGTTTGGAGTGGTAAAAATGTTAGGTCAGTACTTTGTAACCTCAAGTCATGTTGTCTTTGACATTTCATTATGGCAGTAATGACTCCTGGTTGTATCTGTTTTGCTTTGCTCCATGGTTGTGCACTCATTAGGCGTCGCTGCTGATAATAAGAGGATATTTCTCCCCACTTAATTTGTCGGTAAGCCGCTTGAGTGACTTCTTCAAGGCTACACTGTTGTCACACCAGAATGTTGTCAAACATTTATTATAATCTGCATTTGAATATTATTAAAAAAAAGGAATACTGCCTGGTAGTCTCATGTTTGGTTTATGGTGGTTTGAGGGGAAAAAAATTAAGCACTGAGTTAATTTAATCTGTTATTTATATGACTGAAATGCAGTATATTAAAAAAACATAACATGTAGAGATCCTAACCTGTCACTAAATTATTAATTTCAAAGACTGAAATATACAAAATAAATACTGAAATGTAGTCACACATTGCTATGAAAAAGTATAAAGATCTTCTGTTTTAGTTTGTCATCTAAATGTTTCTGGTTATCAAACAAATGTTATTATAAATAAACCAAATGAAAACAAAATGCTGCTTTCTAAACCAACTTCACTCTATGTGAAAAAAAGTGATTGCTCTCTTTTTTCATCACAAATTAACAATAATCAATCAACTTTATGGGAAAACTGGTTACACCAACATACATGCTAAAACCAATGTATCTTTAATGTATTCATAAGTTCTATGGGGGGAAAAAAGTGTTTCTCTAAAATAAAAATAAAAACAACCATAAGAAACAGAGCAGTGCTTTACCCAGGCAGCATAAAATCAAAATGAAAAATACATGATTTTTTTCCCTCCTGTCACTCCTTGGTGCATTATTATACAAATCTCCACCACATCGTGGTGCATTTCATTTTGAGCTCATAAGTTTAACTTCAGCATGAACCAGTCGATTGTTTTTCCTCAGTTCTCTCTGGGAAACGTTCCAACATCCGACAGGAAGTGTTTGGATCCTCTGCAGCAATTTGGAAAAAGTAAAAATGAAACAAAGAAAAAAATGAACCAGAGCAACTAAAGACATGAGTCCAAAATCGAAAGAATGTGAAATTAAAACATAGCGCCTTGAAGAAATAACGTCACACTGAAGGTAATTTTAAAACCATTAAACTGTTTTTATGAGATTTCATGTCCTACATGAAGTCGAGCATCACTGTGAAGTGTAAGTAATAAAATATTTGTAGGAATTTGTAATAAATAAAAACCTGAAAAGCAATGCTTTGCTGAATCAGGTTTTGCTGCAGTTATAGAAACGAGTCTCTGGTTTATCTGTGACATGTTTGTTCCTCTGATACCTTAAAACGGCTGAATTCATACTGAGATTAAATGAAACAGGTGGGCCTTTTGAAGGAATACGGTTACACTGGATTTCATTTATGGGTGTCGGAGTAAAGGGGACTAAAAGAAAGATGCATGCTAATGTTGTTAGGTTTTAGTTTTAAAAAAGCATTGAAAATTATTCTCCACTTTACAATTAAGAGCAAAAACATAAAATCTTACAAAGTATTTTTGGTCTTGTTTGTAGTGCAAATATCTTAGTTCTAAACAAATTTATAAGTAAATTTTCAGCAAGATATATTAGCTTGTTTTAGGTAAATCATTCCTTAATATTGATGAAAATGAACCAGTTCCATTGGATTTGATTTGTAACAAGATGATTTTTCCCTTGTTTTACGTGAAATAATCTGCCAATGAAACCAGTACTTTTTTGTCAGTATTAAGGAATGATTCACTTAAAGCAAGCTCATATATCTGGTTAAACAGTTACTTGTAAGTTAGTTTTGTCTTATTTCAAGTGTGCTAAGATATTTGCATTAGAAACTCAACCAAAAATACTTGGAGTTTGTGGTTTTAACTTGGCAAAATGAAAAAAGTTCAAACTTTTGCAAGGTACCGTACTACTGGATAGTTGTTGCATTACTGCAACAGAAATCCAGTTACACTAGTGAGTGAAGCTCAGTTTATCATTTCATAATGTGCATCTTTACATAAATACTTAAGCTCTTAAAGCTCCCAAATGGCAGATTTACTCTGTTTTGCCTTCGGGGTGACTCACTTTTGTTTTCTCAGTGTAACGAGAGAACAAGATAATCAAGATGAAACTTGGTTGACTGTTCTGTGTTTAAAAAATAAAGTTTCCCCATTACTGAGCTTCCTTAGGGGCATGCTGCTGCACAAACCGTCTCAAAGGCAGTGATGGATGAGCTTGGATGGGATTATGGCTACACACAAAAAAGGATTTTCAAAGTACTGAAGAGGGCAGATGCAGATAAGTGGATAAGGCTTCTTTCTCCGCGTGACGTCCGGCAGCCAGGCGGTTATTGGCTTTGGGGAGAGTGAATATCATTCAGTGAGCTCAATTTGCCAGCAGATGGGTTTGCTAGCTCTTTAAGTCTGGACACCCTGACGCCGTTTCTCCCATCTGTTGTACCTGTCCCACGGCATTTGGGCACTCCGATTAGAGTAATGGGCGACAAGAGGCAGGGGCATTATTAGACTGTGAATTGCATTCTAAGCAGCGCAGGGGAGAGAGGGAGGAGCATAAAGGAGTGAAATCACGTCCTGCGCTGAGAGAAAGCAGCAAATGGGGCCTTTGAAGTAGTTTTGCTGTGGAGGCATTTAAAGAAGTGAAATAATTGGATGCTGGAGGCCTGGTATCAGCAAAAGCAAGAATGCAGACCTCATTCTTT